GCGCTGCCCGCGCCCCTCGCCGTCCCCCCGCCCGACGGCGCTTCTCTGAGTGCTTGCGGCTCCGGGACCGGCATTAAGTAGCGGCTCCAAAGGCTTCTCTCGCTGCCATGGCGACGCCCCGCCCCTGTAAACAGCTTCCGCCGCTGCCATTGGTCGGCACGTCTCCAAGGAGACCGCGGGCCCTCGCCGCTCTCTCTGGCGGCAACTCTCGTCGAACTCCCTCCTTCAGCCTGTCGCTCCCGCGCCACCCAGCCCCCTACCCGCCGCCGCGTCCGGCCCGGCGCGTTCCCGCCCGAGGGCCCCGCGCTGGGGTCGCAGAAGCGCGCGGCGGGCGGCTCCCGCGGAGGCCCCGGGACGAACCGCCGCCCCCGCCGGTCTGGGGCGCTCCTGGGCTCCGGGGCCGCATCCCCGGGGTGTCCGCCCCTCTGCTGGGCTGCGAGTGGCGCTTTCGCGTCTCTGCGGCCTCGTCCTTGTCCCCGGGTGTCCTCTCCGGTGCCCGCGGGCAGGGCTGACTCCGATGCCACCTGCCGCTTAGGTGCACAGAAACGGCCACACCGGTCGATCGCTCGCTCGCTCGCTCGCAGAGGCACCGGGGCTGGCCACTCGGCGGTGGCTCCCTCCGCACCGCGGTCCTCGGCACGCTGGCCGGAAGTTGATGCGGATGGCGCCCTGCCTGCTATCCGGGGAGCTGAGGGCGCAGGGAGGTGGAGGCATCCGGCAGTCGCGGACCTGCCGAGGCCTCCCGGTGGGGTCACCTGCCTCTTTACGCGACAGGGGCTGAAGGAAGGGCACTGGCGTCCCCCCACCCCGCCTCCCTCCTGTCACCGCCGTCCCCGCTCTTTAATTATTGAGGAGCTGGTGCTGGGAGTTCTCCGGTTTAAGGAGGCTGGGAGGCAGCTGCGGGGGCTGGGCCGGCGAGCTGCGGCGGCGGGGGCGGGGGCGTGCGTCTCCCACTCCAGGTCTTGGAATAAAAATACTAAACAGCGCTGGACGGAAGCTTTCACAAATAAGTCCACTTTCGGCTAGCGCCTCTTTTCCCTTGTAAACAGTTTTATTCGTTTTAAAGAACCATGCAGTGATCCATAAATATTGCATCCTGACGTCCCCACTGTGGCCTGCCCACGAGTTGTACCCCAGGGAGTGGGGGGAACACGACGGTTCGGTGTGCGGCCGGATGCCAACGCCAGGTGGTCAGCTTCTACCTCGCCAGGAGCCAGGGCCTGAGTGTGTGGTGTGTGGGTCTGTGCCCCGGAGCTCTGACGGGATGGAACTGGGAACAGGGAAAGGCTGTGAGGAGCCAGGACCACCCCAGCAGCCACCCGCGGCCGGAGAGCAAAGCCCCGGTGTGCCCGGGAAGGAGGCCGGGGCTCCAGAAGCCGCCCCTCTCCCCCCACCCCCAGCAAACTGCTGATGGCGTGGCTTCTCCGGATGACAGCTGATCTGTCCCGGATCGGGGTGACGAGGACCAGCCCCCTTGGGTGGGGTCCATCTGCTCCCCAAGGGGGCTCAGTGAGAACAGAGAGGGAGAGGAGAGGCAGGACCGGCCTCTGTCAGAGCCTCTTCCCGGGAAGGGTCGGCACTCCCACCCTGCAGGAAGTGGCGAGGTGGGTGTCCTGGCCACCGTGGCTACTGTTTACCGAATCTCCAGCGTCTCAGCTCCTGCCCAGGCCTTCCAGGTAACACCACACAGTGACTGGGGCCTGCTGGGACAGGGGGTGCTCCGCGTGCCGCCTCGGGCTCGGGCTCAGGGAAGCTCCCCGTTGTTGGGGCTTCTGGGCCTCAGACCTCAAGGACATCAGGGACTGGGGTTATTGCTGAATGACACTGGCCTACAGCTCACGTAGGAGGGGCCGCAAGAACGGACGCCGGGGGAAGGGACGGGAGGACGTCGGCGCAGTCTCCACAGCAGAGTCCATTGCTGGACCTCAGGCCCCACCGGCCACGCCCTGGAGGGGACAACAGCCCTGCCTCCCCCAGGACAGGACTCCCGTCACAGCCCCTGTATCCTGGCCTCTGCAGCCACACAGGAGGTGCAGGGGACTCCTTGGGTGCCTTTTTGAGGCCTGGGAAAGCTCCCCAGAGTGGGCACAGTGGGCACAGTGGGCACAGCCCACGGCTCCCTTATGCCCCATTCTCACAGGTAACTGCTGTTTCTAACTCTGCTTCCCAAATAGTCTTAGCCCCGCCCCCTGCCCCGCCCAATCACCTTTTCCAAAAGCCAGTGGACAACGCCTCTGGCCAAGGCCACGTGAAGCCCACTGCTAACCCTGGCATTGGGAAGGAGTAACTCCCAGCCACTGCCTGCCCAGCCTTGGCAGGCGTGGCTTCTGTGTGGGCAGGGCCTGAAGTCCTCACTGGCCTCTGGACGGGTCTGCCTCCCCTCACCTATCCAGCTTACTACATCTGGGAGGCAGCAGAGGACGGGGGTGGGTGGTGGGCTGGGGCCCTGCCGCTGGTCCCTGCCTGCTGCCTGGACTTGGCTCTGTGGTCAACGTCGCTTCCTCAGGGGTCCTGGGCGCACTTGAGCACCACGGGTCTACCCCTCCCCTGGCTTGGATTTCTTCAGCTGTTACAAAGGGGTGGAGGCAGGGGCTGCGGGGAAGGTGAAATACGACAACACGGCAGTGCCAGCAGCAGCTGGACGTGGACGTGGTCAGGGAGCGCTTCCTGAAAGGTCACCTTCGGCCCGGGTCCCGGGAGTTCCCCATGGCACCTGCTCCAGGGAACTCGTCCGTGTGGGTGACCAGCCTAACCGGGGAGTCTCGGGCACACAAGGCACAGGACACCAGCTCTGCCGCCAGAAGGGAGCTGGCTTTGCAACCACCCTCCTGTCTCCCTCGTCCGATGTTCTGGAGGGGAACCACGGGAGCCAGCCCAGGTGGGCTAGGGCGTGTGTGCTGCAGGGCCACCTGTGACAGCGGCCCAAACCCAGTGCCATGGGTCTGCCCACTACGGAGGAGGAAGATGCACAGAAAGCAACCGGCTGTGAACCCCAGCCCCACCCCAGGTCGAGACCCCACAGAAACACGGGGGCCTCTGCAGAGGGTCTCGAGAGCAGGAGGGAGTCCGGCCGCAGGAGGCGGGGTTGGGGGAGCAGGCTGGGCACGAGGCGCGGCTCCGGTGAGGATGGATGGATGTGAGGGCGGAGTGCAGCCTGGGTGCTGGGGCCGGGGCGCTCAGACAGCCAGCGGGCCCCACACGCAGGGCCTGTCCTCGGGGTCCTCCAGGCGCCGGCGCTGGGTGTTCCGCCCTCTGACGGCGTTATCAGCTTGCCAGGCACCTGGAGGGGGGAAGATGAAGGTTACGGGAGCCAGGCCTGGGCCAAGAGCAGACGGCCTTCCCAGCAGGATGCGTGTCACCTGACACTCTCAGGTGCACCCGCAGGCCGCGGCGGGCCCTGGACAGAGCGGGGAGGCAGGTGCAGCGGCTGCTCCTCCCGGAGGGGGGTGAGCCCACTGTGGCCCACGGACGGGGAGGGACTCGACTGTGGTCCCTTGTTTTGTGGACTTCCCCTAGGACTCCTTTTTGTCTCTTTTTGTCACTGTACACTTGGGAGTTGGCCTGTGGGACACAGTGGACGAGGACAAGGACGGGGGCCTGGCGGAGCAGTTTCCGTCAGGGCAGGCCAAAGTGGAGGGGAGGGAGCAGCATCAGCTCACTCGGGCCCAGGTGTGGGTGTTCGCTGGGGGAGCCGGGGGTGCCGGGGCCACAGTGCACACGGTGGCCTGGGACAGGTCACTCCCCGTGGACGTGGCTTTCTCGCCCATCACATGGGGGGACGACTGCTTCCCTCACAGGTGTGCTGGGAGGCCTGGGTGTGTCCCCGGGGTCCCCCTGCCCCCTCAGGTGCCTTCACCCCGCCCCGTGCAGGAAGAGAGCTCCTGGCGAGAGGCAGGGCCTCAGCTGCCTCAGCCCTCGGCTCCCTGGGGCGTGGCAGGCCCTTCGGCCCGAGTCGAGTCGGCCACAGCCTCCTGCCGCCTGCACTCCGGCCCTGCTGTGGACACTGCTGGGCCCTCTGGCTCCCCCGCAGGTCGTGAGCTCCTGCTGGGAGGGGCCGAGGCGGATTCACCGCTGCCCCCGAGGCCAGCATGGCTCCCGACCCAGCAGAGGCCCCGGGCAGCCACGGAGCCTGCTCCGGAAGCCACTCTCGAGTGCCCGGGGCCAGCCTCCGGTGAGGCCAGTCCAGGACGCTTTCCCAGACGCACCAGGACGAAGCAGCTCTCCCTGTCTGTGGGGGGACCCCGGGGAAGACAGCGCGTGGCACTGGAGACCCTCCGGGGCCTCTCCCACCCACACCGAGAGCCTGGGACCCGAGTCCCAGGTGCTCCCGGTGCTCGGGGCAGCGCTGAGTGGGGCGGGGTGACTGCGAGGCAGTGCTGGATTCTAGGCTGGGAGCCCCCCTGAGTCGTCTGTGCATTCGGGTGATTTGCGTGCGTCATACCTATTCCTCAATGTCTATGGGGCAGGACTCCGGAGCTGCGGCTGTTCAGTGGGAAAGACCAAAGGCAAATGGTAAACAAGAGAGAAGACACACACACGCACACACACAGTACACACAGCAGCAGCCACGCCTCCGCCCTGGACGCTGGTGCTGTCCTGACGTCCGACGCACTGAGGTTTGCTGTCAAGTCCACTGTCCTGGAAGCCCTGGCCAGGACACTGGCTCCTTGTGGACCGGACGCAAGGCTCCCGCCGGAGCCCCTGCTCTCCCCGGCCCCTCGCTGCCGCCTGCGGCTTGGCCAGGAGAACGAGGCGTCTTGTGGCTGTGCCCCCGTCTGGGCCCACAGAGGCAGCCTGGGCCACCAGTGCCACCATGGCGTGCGGCCGAAGTCAGGGCCTGCAGTCAGGGACGGAGCTGGAGACTGACAGTCCCGCCAGGGAGGTGGACCCAGGTGCTCCCACTCAGTCCCCGTCGGAGCGAACAGAATTGGGGGAAGGAAGAGACCTCTGGAGGTCGATCCGGGAGCGCCCGGGGACCGGCCAGGAACGGAAGGGCGCCAGCAGCTCACCCTGCAGACGCTTCCCTGGGCCCACGAAGCGCAAACTCTCCCGCCTGCATCTCCGTCCTGGCCTGAGCGGCTCGAAGGAGTGAGCTGACTCTCAGGCCCTGGTAAGTATCTTCCCCGGACACGCCGCTCCTGCGCAAGCCCTCCTCTAAGCGCTGGACTTGTATTTCCACTGGAGCCCCCAGGTTCCTAGACCACCCCGTGCCTCGCACAGACCATCGTCGCTAGCCCCGCTGCCCGTCCTGCTGCCTGTGCGACATCCCACCACGCTCCCTGGAACCGCACGGACTTGGCCGGTCCCGGAACTCTCCCCTTCTTACGACCTCCGCCGGTCAACTGAGACCCCCTTCAAGAGCCTCTCAGAAGCACCTCAGAACACGTCAGCCCCAGCGTGAAGAAGCAGCGCTCCCCCCTCGGTCTTGGGGCCCAAGAAGGCCAGGAAGCTTCCTGGAGGAACAGGGCCCAGCACGGCCTCGCCGGTGTGAGGAGAGGGAGGGCGGAGGGGCACGGCTCCTGCCACTGGCTGGGCCTCCTGACGCCTGCCAGGGGCACGCACAGGGAGGCCTCCACGGAGGCGATGGCACCTGCTCGGGGGTGGTGATCTCAGGCCGAGGAGCGCAAGTCTGAGCTCAGAGCTGAGCCTGTGAGGCCTGTGTATCTCACAGGGCCTGCCCAGGGGGACACCTGTCTTTAAGCCCACGGATATTCCCAGAGTTCCCAGCGCTTTGCTCCAGGGCAAGGCCCTGCCCGGCCAGAGATGCACTCGGGTGCTTCCACCTGACTCCCTGATTGGGGTCTGCCTGGCCACGCTGAGGGCCGCTGTAACCTCCAAGCAGCTGACTCCGGGAGTTGCCAGAAGGAACCCCAAGGCTGCCTTCTTCCTGCTCTCCGCCCCCCCAGTCCAGGAGTGGCCGGAGGGGGTGGGAAGAGGAGGAAGCAGCAGATGCAAGCCCAGTTTCCGTCAGCGCTGATCTGGGCTGGGGGGGAGGGGGAGCCCTTGAGGGAGGCGGGCGGAGGCCTC